TTTTATAATAAACAGGTTTTCCCTTTAGAAAATCAAAAATTTACTAAACTTCTGTATTTTTACAAATGACTGACATGATTAAGTATAAATATTTTTTTCGATAATAAAAAGTTATACTTGGAAATAAGAGGTATAAATCAAAAGATATCAGAAAATATCCTCGTAACAAAGATTGTTGTTGAGGGCGTAATAAAAGAACATCCATCCTTGGCCCGCTTTTTCGACGGCAAAGCGGGACACGACGGCTGCTTAGCACACCCTGTTTTCGGCGAAACTTTTTGGCCGCACAAATTCGCGCGTCCTTTCCCCTCCGAGATATCGCGAGACAAACAGCATTAACTCTTCTCGCGCGATGCTCTCGAATAAAGTTACACAGATTTGTCACGGGACAAAAAACGCAGGCACGTTCCGCCCCCGTGAACGGGCTTCCAGGTTTCTTACTCGGATTTCCTAGACGCCTGAAAAGTGGCTTCCTACGGGCCCTTTATGTTTTCCTCTTTCGCGTTTCGCCAACTTCCCGTCGAGGCTTCCGCGCTTTTTCGTACACAAAATGTCCCAGAAAATCTATATAACGTGAGCCAGAAAGACGTTATTCTTTGAAGAATTTTGAAAGGACTTCTTCTTGGTCAAAATTGAAACCGAGAACCTATTTATGTCTTTGAGGAACAAACAGAAAGTAAAAACACGCGATGAAATACGCGAGTAGTGTTTGCCATTGTTTTAAAATATTTGTCCGTCGAGACCATCGTTTCAAGAAGCGAATGCACGTTAGATTCCGACAATGCAAATTTTCCTCGAGAGTTATATGAATTTATCATTCGCGAGCAAAATGTCCTTCCGAGGCTTTCCCGAAGAAGACTGAAAATTGTGATGTGAGAAATGAGTCATCATACGCGAGGAATGAAAAACTCGCATTTGTTGGAGCTTTGCACCTGTAACGTATCCTAAGATCCAGAGAACATTTGTCATAAACATTAGGGATGAAAAAGTTCACAGGGATGAAGAATTCGAATATATGTACTTGAAAGGATCACTAGATTACTCCAATATTAGCGGATGCCCTTTACTTATAGAGATACCTACAAAAGCCAAAGGTTTCGTGAACACGTTTTAAATATTTTAAAAGATCATTATTATACTCTGACATTAAACTAGATATTCTATGATGGGCGATAAATATCAAAGAGTTAAAACATTTTCTAAATAAAATTTATATCTAAAGCTAATTTCACAGAAGCCGAAATGGATTCGATTTAGTCACACCCGGATTGGATTCTCACGGACCCGAGAGATTGCAGGCGAAATGTTCGTTTCGTATCCAAAGGGGAGTGAAAGTAATTTGGAGCATGATTCGATGTAAGTAAATACCGTCCTCTAGTCGCGCATAGAATTCCAACGGCACTAGGAATCTCATAGGAGATGGGGATCTCGCGCTATCGTCTTGTCTATCCGCGAGTGAAGAAGCGCCAGCGACTGCTTCGGTGCTGCAAGAATGAAATTGCGACGAGAAGGACCATGGGGAGAGAGAAAGGAGAAGAGAGAGAGAAAAAGAGAAATGATGCAGCTATCGTCTTTTTTTGATGTAATGAGAGAGAAGAGATGTTTGGGGGGGTACCAAATTCGGAATGCGAATTATTCGCGCGTACATTCGGCACTTGAAACGCCATTTCTCTTTGAATGCAGAAGAGAAACCGCGACAGAATCACGGAAAATCAAAAAACATCACGTCCTTGCGACAGTCTATTTTTCGCGATAAATTAACGGCGTTAATTAGCGCAGCGGTAAGTCGCGGTCGTCTCCTATCTCGGGAATTTTCTCGCGGTTTTCTTTCATCAGCGCAACTGCTCGACAACTCTTCCGAGGACAGAGAAAAAGAGAAAGAGAGCGAGAGAGAGCGGCTTTCGATCCGTGTATCTTAGTCGGGGTTACTCCGAGTCTTCGCCATTACGCGAGTAAAGGCTATTTTCAACGACGAACTCGTAACCTGATACACGAGCAGCGAGGGCTACGGCGCCTCCGCTAAGGGAAGGCTCCTCCTTCTTCGTCTCCTCCCTAGTGAACGAGGAGACGACGTTCTCTTTAATTATTCTCCGCATGTTAAAATCATTAAATTGTTCCGGTGATAGATCCAAGGATGTATCAAGTGTCGAGCGGTTCCTTGTTATAGACTCTTTAACAAGTTTCTCGAGAAGTCGATTTTCTTTTACCGTAAGTTCTTTTACCGTAAGTTCGATCAGATATCATTCTCCCCATAATTTTCTCATTCTTATGTGAAACATTTCAATTAGAGAGTAACCTTCAAATTTGGATAAAATACAGCTCGCTCGGAATTAACGAATTTAAGATTTTATAAAAGTAGAAGGGTTGTTGAAAAAATACTGAGTTACTCGATAAAAGTCTTTAAAAGATTAATTAGACGAAAGATATAATAATATTATATAAAAAGATAAAACTAAAAGTGTATCTTCGCGTTCACATCTTTTGATATTTCGAAAGAAAACAATCGTTCGGCGATAATATTATTTCTAATTAAAAGAATCATTCGCGTTTTTTGAATCATTATTTTTTTATTCGTCACGTTTCAGGAATACTGTCTGTTCATTCAAGTAAACTTTCTATCCAGCCTGAATAATTCGTGGGTGCAAGGTCGGAAAGAACGGCGACGTACAGTCGCTTGTTCCTCCTCTGAAAGTCATCTTCGTCATGACGCCGGCACCGACGACGCCGATGCCGCCGCCACCGACGACGACGACAACGAAGACGACGACAACGACGACGCCGACGTCCAAAAATAGGGACGACATTAGCGCGTAGACTCGTTTCGCACGGCTCACCGGACCGCGTCGACTTCGCGGATGCAACGTCTTCGGCTGCCAGTAATTTTAGACGCCAGAGTCAGATCGCCGCGATCAAGTTCTTCATCTCGGAAAATCGCCCAGTAAAAGTGACATCGTAAGTTTATCGAACGCGCGAGATATGTAGCCCGAACGCGTCCCGCAAAACTTTTCGCCGGGGAAAAATGGATTCCGAATTCGCGTCGAGGAATCTGTCGTTGACAGACGCGTCAGCAGCTGATGCTGCGGGAAAAGTTGGACGTTCAACTTGCGCGAGGATTTACGAGCTTCCCCGCAGACTGTTAGGCACAGGACAAATGTAATACGCTGGCACACAAGCTAGGTAAGAAGTTTTCCAATCGTTCTATTAATTCATATCGATTCGTGTGATTGATTAGAAAGTTGTCGATCGAAAATAAAATAATTATGTCTGAAAAATTTTAATCTTTTAAGTTACACCCACACATATATACAAGAGCAGAAACATCAAGAGATATAACTTTAAATGAAAAATTACTGCTAAACTTTGTTGTGTTGCTTCGCATGTGGCGAATGTTGGACTTATGCCACTTGGAAGAAGGATTCGCAACACTTCTCGCTCGGTGATGCTGTTTGCCGAAATGTATTTCGGTATCACATCTTCAACAACATTCTTGGCGAAATTGCAGCGTCTATAATATATGCAGAGAAAGAGAGAGAGGGGGGGAGGGAGAAAGACAGAGATCGCGATCGCGATAATACTACAAATAATAAGATCAAGTTCGCGCTGATTCGAAGTTTGTCTTTCATTCACGAGAATTCATGAATTTGATTTTTACGCGATGTCTCGCAATGTTTCGTTAAAAGGACAAAGCTGGAAAAGAAATCGCGTTATAACGCGAAATCACCAACGATTACAAGATAATTACCCAGCAACGTAATCGCGACAACAACATATAAAGTATAAAAAAATTAAAATTAATCATCACGTTGCGCGATACCAAATCGCAAAAGCTCTGGGCGTTTGCCAGCGACCATTATCGTCGCGCATATCTTTCTATAAATAATGCGGCGATCTACGATCATATAACTCAACTCCCTAGTTTACGACAATGTCGTTATTATTGTTAACGATCGTTCGATCGAGTTGCCATCATTGTGGACACTGCTCGTTGCAGATAACGATCGTATTAATGATGTAATCTGGCATTTCAGGAATTAATGTGACGATACAATTTTGTTTTGCACGAGTTGACGTAAGGAAGAATTACCGGAATTTAAAGATATCTATAATCCTGCCAATGACAATTGCCAAGTATATCCTACCCCCGAAATATCATAGTATTCCATTTCGTCAGATTTAAAATCCAGTCGATAGGAGATGAGAATTAAGACAATGATGATAAATCGATTGATATTTTGAACTCTGCTGTAGATGTAACGGTATCCTCTTAAAAATAACATATTAAAAGTTGTAAAAGATTTCATTCAAGAGATATTTGTAAAAAGAGAAAAACACTTTTTAAATAAGAAACATAGGCGGGGTTTTTAAAATATAGTTTGTTTTGAAATTTCTATTTCTGCCGCTTATAATTTTTTTTATTTTCGATTATACGAGATAGGTATATAAATATTGAGTTGCAACATTTATCATCAAAACAAAATTCATAATGATTTCTTACAAGAATCTTACATTACTACAAGAATCTTACATTAATTATATTAATTTTAATAGCCTTCGTAAGAAAACTTTTAATTTTATCATAGACATTCATAGGATGAATTCTATGAAATAGATGATAGATATAATTGAGAACTGTGCAATTACACAACCAAGTTTTGCGAGTGGAATGTTCACCTTCGGTCTGTGTCTACTAGAAGAAAACAGGGAGAATTACACGTCCGCCTTTGTATGGTACAAGGAGCAAAAGAAAGCAGGAGATGAACATGAAGAAAAAGAAGAAGAAAACGAAGGGGAGACGGAGAGGAGAAGCCTGGGTAAGTTATCATTCGAGTCTGGACCAGGAATAGTCGCGCCATGTGGTGGTAGCCGTGGGACTGACTATTTTCGGGTAAAGACAAATTTGGCGCGGCGAAGCGCTACGCGAGGGAGCCGAGAAGCTGAGCTGAGCTGAGCCGAGCCGAGCCGAGCCGTGTCGTCGCGTGGTAGTCTTGAGTGTAGGCTTACATATGCACACGACGAGGGGGGTGCCGGCTCTCCTCGTGACTCGAGAGGAGAGGCCAATGGGATCTGTGTAGCCATTTTTAGAGGGCTCGTTCCGAAACGATCGTGCTCGTGGCTTTGGCAGCATTCAGTCCGAAGCGGTCATCCGGGTTGGCAGGGTTCTGAAGTCGCGAGAGGGAATCTACCCGGATCTTCTCTCGACGATCGTCGGCCGTCCGCGTAGGAACGCACCCCAGGTGTATTGCGCCGAGATGATTTTCCGGGTATAGAGGGTTTAGCGCCCTTCATGCGCTAAGAGGGTGTTTCAGATTCTTCGTTGAAGAGATTCAAGAGATTCTTTCAGAAGCGCGACGGATTACGTAACGCATTCGCGAAACGAGGTTGTGGCAAGGACACGTATCGAGATATCGTTCGGACATCCGTTGGATGTTTCCGTACTTCCAGTCGGGGTGAATAGAAGAGAATGGACCTCGCTCAGGGAGCTGACCGGAATTCAGATGAGTTAAGTTCGATGACCGGGCGACCGTTCCGTGCTTCCTTACTTCCCATAGTGAATGTGACATATGGAATGTAAAGAAGTATGGAGCTGGGCTCTGGTGAATCGTCGCAAGGCGGAATCGCCCTTCGAGAAACTCCCGAAGTCGCGATGACGAAGACGAAGAAATCCATCGCGAATGAAAGGAACGAAAAACGGAAAGAACAAGAACGTGGCGAAAGAATGACAGCGAGGATAACAGTGCCGTGTATAAGAGTCAAACAAATACATTCGAAGAGAAATCTCGCGGATACTTCTTCGGCGGTGCAGGATCCTGGGATCGGCAGCAGCCAGCTGCCAGAAATAGATTGCTTTCGCGCAACGAACGGCGATACGGCTCCGGCATCACTCCATGTACATATGGTCCTCTATTTATGGCTTTGGTGCTGCTACCATGTGGTCACCACTTTTATTAGCCCCACGAGATACGAGCTCTTCGTCATTCTTAGCGCGATGACAGGACTCGTCGTCTCTTCGTATCCTTCTCTTCGATATCATGAAAAGCACGTATCTTCTCGTAAGATTAACGTTTACATTCTCTCTCGCGATTAGTATCTCTTCGTCAGAATATTTCAATTGCTCGACTTGATTGCAGCGACGAGGAAGACGAGATGCGGAAGGAAGCGGACAGGCGGGCGAGGAAGAGGACAGGCGCGTGCTGTTTTCGAGCCCGAAATAGGACCCACGCACAACCGTCGCCATGTTTCCAGAAATAAGTTCTCCGGTTACAAGGTCTATTTCCGTTTCGCGGGCCGGCGACCGGTGCCACATTGATTGGCGGAGGCGCGGCGAACGATCAACGTATGCAGCTGCAGGTGCGATCTCGCGATCTCGCACAGGAATACCTACCACGCGCGCACGATATTTGATTTTGGTGCACTCGAGAGAGAAGATTTAGTGTCGGTTGTAACTTGATGGTCAGCTAGTGACGCCTGTGACACTCGGTGCGATCGATTTATAATTTACATAACGAGAACGAGCTAGTTCTAATCACTGCGAGCGAGTAACACGATTAGGTGAATACATGCAAGACACGGTCCTTGTAATCTCGGGGATGAACCCGTCGCAGATCTCCTTGTCTCTTCCAATTCGATATTTCAGTTACTTTTCAAAATATAAGAGAAATGCTATTTCAGGAAATTATAATTGTGATTGTTTGCACGAAAAGTTTCGTGCTTTCTGTAAAAGTGATCTCTATTAATACTAGAGATTTATTGTTAAATCTTATTAGAAATTATTCTAGTTAATTTTACGTATTTCATGTTATTAAAAATTAAGTTTTGATACTTCATATATGTTTCTCAAATATATTTATATTAATATTAATTAATTATATTAATATTTTTCTCGCTTATTATATATGTATGTGTGAATTCTTCGTTCTACGACATCACTGTTAATTGTTCAACTATACAATTCGTATCGATATTCGACCTCACGAATTTTGACGAACATTTTCGCGATTCGATGCCGAATGATATGTCGCTTTCGCATAGATGGGCACGAATTCATCGACAGTAAAATAGGTTTGCGCATCTTGTGGCAGTAATGCTCTTGATTAATCCGAACGAATTACCCTAATATTATTGCCGTGAAATAATAATATTACTCCCGGTATTATCGGCTAATGCTGCCATTTGCATTAACGTCGGTACCTGCTAATTGGCATCGCCCGTCGCGTTTTGTCTATTTGTCGTACGTGTTACATGGCTCGCCTGATTATGCTAATCACCAGCGAATAATAACGCGAGTCGTTCGAACGAAATTCTACCAAATTCGCTAAAACAGAGTCTAAAGAAAAAAAACAGAAAAAATATTTTTTCGTAAAAATCTCCCTCTTTTCACCTACAACTAATTCTTCAACTAATTTAAAGTCAATGGAAACTGGAAACTCCTTTTAGAGTTTAAAGGATACTAGAAAGAAGATTACAATGTTATTATTCTTATTATTATTATGTAAGGGAAGATTAATGTTTTGTAATCCAACAATAAGAGCTGAACTTTGATCATCTCATCGTTGATGCTCCATCAAAGACGTCAAATCATCGAGGGTTGGTAAGTCGTGGAGGAAGCGCGGATCACGCGACGTTTCGCAGATAATCACGGATAGCTCGGATGCAACCTTGGCACGTTTTCGGCGGGTCGATAAACGCAGTGTGGCAGAGACGAATCGGTGGTCAAAAGCCCTGGGAGAAGAGAGGTCCGCGGGTTACGTAGCGCCCACGGTGCCGATGGATACGAGGGTCGAATGACAGAATCGCGCGTGGTATTGGCTGCTCGGTACAATCGTCACGTTCGCCGCGACAATTTATGACGATTGGAATAGCGACCATTCCGCGCGATGCAGCCAGACTGCGAGAAGGCTCTCTGGTACGCGAGACCTTATCAAACTGCTTTAATTATCGCAAGATAGAATTCATGTCCCGAGTTCGTAAAAAGGATATCGCGGGATGTTCACGTTATTCTCGATTTTAATCTTTTAACACTCCTGCGAAAGAAACGAATGTAAGTTTTTTCGAAGCTGTGCGATATATCTTTCACTTTCGTTAATTATGTTATTATAAAAACCTTATGGTCAGGTATCATTTATCATTGAAATTTTTGGTCAAATTCAAGGAAACAAAAGGTATTCAGTTTGAACTAAATCCAGTTTTCGAATTGGATAAAAGAACAATAAATGAATGAAAAAAAAATGCTAAATTAAGTTTTCTTGTACATAATGTAAAAGAAATTTTGCACTTTTCCAGATAAAAATCTAAGCTATTTTCTCTCATGAATGACTATAATAGGCTTAACAGGCATCGTATTTAGTCAGGCTCCTGGAAGAACATTACCTTATTCCCACGAGTATCTCGTAACGCGGAGGGTACTTAAGGGCACAAGGAGAAACAATGCGGATGAATGAATGCAACTGAGATTGCAGTACTAATTAAGTCGTACGTCCCAAATAATTGCCAACATTCCCGTCTTGTCAGTGGTGACTGTCTGTCGTTGCGATTGCGGACACCGATAGTTAACCGAATTTCGATATCGACATGTTTCATTCCATGAATTTCCCTTTCTCTCCCTCGCTCGTACAAGGTCTCCTAAATATGCAAATTATATAAAGTCACGATTGTACATATTTTCTATACAATTTGCACATAAAGTCGAATTTTAAACAAGCAGTATTTATAAAAAGTAAGAGAGAAGCTTAAAAAATGATAAAATTAAAAAATATATTTTGGATTATAAATATTAAAAAATATTTTGACACAAAGTTTCTCGTAAACAATATATATTTTTATATCTCTGTCGCGTGTGCAATAAACCAATTGGATTGAAAGCATGATTGTCATGAAAATTACAATAAATATACGTCAAAGGGTATTTCTCACGTCACCCTATTTTATCTTACCTAGATAAATCTAATTTTCCGAAAGTTAGTCCTCTATTTTACGATGAGCAATCGTGCGGACATCAGCATATCCTTGCAATATCGCAGGCCGGTCTAATATCGGATCGTCTTCGCGAATTTCGGTTCGCTGACCCGAATCGCGTAAAACTTCCGGATTCAGGAAGAATCGCGTCCGTCCGTTTATCAAAGTCAACGGGTCGACGATCTCCAAATTGAGTCACGGAGAGCGTTTCCCGCTCGAGACTATCTCGCGCGCGTCCGAAAAAACGCGGCCCATCGCGACATCGCGAACACGACGGTGGTAAAACTCGAGATGCATCCTTAACGCGACGCGCATGACGCTCCCTAGTACAGTTTCCGTCTCTTGCACTTTTTTCTTTGCCCTTCTTCCGCATGTATATATGTACATCCATCCAATTTTCGTCGTTTTCAATGGGGGCTCTCGAATGCTCGCTCGATAAATCCATCTAGACGAGAGAATATATCCGCGCGTTTGTCAGTTTCCGCACGTAAGCGAAACGTCAGCTTTCCTAGTTTCTTGGAGCCGAGTCGCCGCCTAACTCTCGAGCTTCTCTTCCCGACCCTCTTCCCTCTCGAGCTATCCTCACCGGATTCTTCGATATATCTTGCGATGTCAAGATGGCCAAGAAGACACCTCGATTACCCGTCGAAGGGGAGCCAAGGTTCTTTATATTAATCTATAATAGATTAATCGCAAATGTTCCGATGAATCTGTATAAATAAAAAAAGGACAAACTTTCTAATAATTATCTATATTATTATAATTTTTGAATTGTACGAGAATTAAAAAAATACGAGATTTATTCGTATGTGAAAGAGAGGGAAGATATAGTTGCTTTCTCAACTTTCTATCGTTGGTTGTACAGAAAGATTTCACACTGCGCGACTTCCAAAGAGACGAGACAGCGATTTTGCTATTAAATCGTTCGATAGGGCGTTCAAGGGAGCCGCGATGTAGACGAGGACTGTAGGCGACTCACGAAGCGGCGCTTCGACACCGATTGAAACTCGGCCCTCCGGGTCGGAGGCGTTGAGTGCACTTCTCGGAGCATGACGCGAATAGTCGAGCGGCTCGAGGCGCGTTTGAACTTTTAAAATAAGCGCGGCCCTTTCTGCGGCCAGCGTTTCGGCAGGACGATCACGCACGGCCACCCGTCCAACTTCGCCGGCTAATCAGAAAAATCCACACTCCGCTGAGTTTATTGAATTGTCTTGGCCCGGGCCCGGGATACGATCTCATTGTCTCTTACTGCGTCTTTCTCGCGGTAAAGACAAGGCAGGAAGACAACCCTACTTGTCCATCGCTACCTTTTTCCCCTGACCAGAATTTCTTCCGCGTCTTTATCTGTCTATTTCTTGTATTTCTCTCTCTCTCTCTCTCTCTCTCTCTCTCTTGCTCTTATTTTCTTTTTATTAATTATCTTATACAAGTCTTTTTATAAAAAAATTATATTGATATAAATTATTGGTATGTTTTTCCACTACTTTTTTTTCAAAGCATCTTTTAGAACTCAATATTTATCGCTGCAAATCCGATTCATCCAACATTTTCAAAAATAAACTCTTTGATCTTCTACAAAGCAATCTTCTGCATATGAAATGAACGATTTATATTACGATGTGAATCTTCTGTTATTTATTTTTCTTATCTATTTTATAAATTATCTATGAACACATTTTAGCTATTTGTTATTTTCTACAACACAATTTTCTCATTTAAATTGTATATTCTCTCTTGATTTTAAAAGTCTTTTTTCTCTATGAGGACAATAAATATCGTTTCCTACCATCGTCATTACTATCATTTTCTATCGGTTTTTATTCGCGATAATATCTCACGAGTCCTCGGAGCGGATTCAGATGAATTATAACGACGCATAGGGATCAATGACGGCAAGCCGTATGAATCTTATATTCCTACCCTCGTTCATTCGCGCAACCTCTGGCCGCGACCCATATTTTATCATGGGCCTTCGTAATCGGTGTGCCTGATAACAAATTGCGATGCATAGATTTCCCACGTTTTATCATAGTTTTTGTAACATTATTTTCATGAAAATAATATTATTTTTATATCTGTGGTTTTACATGATCTTTCTTTAATAACGATTCTTATATTTTTTTCATGATTATAGAATATATTGAAAATCAATTAAGAGAAATTATTATTCTTGTAATTTATTAAGATATTCGTAAGATTTGTCATGGAATACGATCCTGAATTTTGAATTACGAATCTTATGAAGCATCCTTTATAACAGTCGCTGCTCTGAGAGGGGGGTTAATACAGCACGAAATTGCAGTCTGGGAAACCTCTCGAAATACTCGGCTGACAACGAGCGCCTCGCATTAAATCCGGTATAACGTTATAATACTCTGCGACCGTGCTTTCCGCGTAACGCAAGTTAGAGTTCTCCAATTTTTTACTAATATCGCGATAATGACTTGCCGCAACAGCATGGTCCCGCTTAATTAGGGAACTTTTGTATATTCGCACAATTAGTCCCTTTAACGGACTGACGTAAACTAGCTATTCCCCGCGTTTCGCGATATTAAAGCGCAGCGAGCTCGACGGCCACGGTAAAAGCTTTAATTTTCAACGGAGAATTTAATTCGAAGCACGGAAATCCCATGGAAGCGTCTCAAAGATCCGAGAAAAGTCCGCTCGTTTTTCCACAGATATATTAGAAGATACATTTTCAACAATTTTTTAACGAAGAATTTAACGTGCAACTTATACGCGCAGATTCCTTCCGCTCTATGTATGACCTAAATCTTTTTATATAAAATTCAAATAAGAGCGACGAAAAAGAGATCTTTCTTATTAGATGACATATATAAATT